CTTTCCCTATGTAACTTGAATTGGTTTAACAGCTAGCACACAGGACTTGCAACTTAGCAAGCTTAGGCTTGTTTTGCTAAGCAAAAATGCCCACGTTGACCCTCAGCAGACCCTCTCTCAGCTGGTTAGAACGGAGGCTGTCCTGTTTACAGCGATCTGGCAGTAGGAAGCCATTTCTGTTGCGTGTGATCCTGAAAATCATGTTCTTTTCTTCTCTGGCAGGCCAATGCCCGACATCGAGACCCTCATGCAGGAATGGTCACCGGAATTTGAGGAGCTCTTGGGAAAGGTATGTTGTCTGAGCAGTAAGTAGTTAGCTCAGTGCGTGGCATTAAAAACCATCTTCCATGAAAGCTGGGTTCCTGTTCCATTTTGAGTTCTTTGCCCGCAGCCCAGCCCATTCAGGTTTGTTCCTGCTTGCCATTTCTCCCTTGCCAGAAGACGGGGGAGCAGCCTAACGCCTGAGTTCCCAGCTGCTGCCCAGGTGGCCTCTGTGCTCGGCTTGAGATCAGCGCGTGCTCTCGGGCTCTTCCCGTATGGGAGCAGAGCTGACAGCCCCGTCTGTTGCAGGTGGGCCTCCCGACTGCGGAGATGAACTGCGACCTGGCTGAATACATCGACATGATATGTGGTAAGCGGGGAGACCGTGCTGAAGACACAAGCGTGCTGCTGGCCTGCTGCTGTCTCACTTAAAGCAAGAGACCTCTAGGTGCAGGCTCAGCTCCGAGTAGTCAAGATCATTCTCTGCTGCCTTCAGTAGGAAGCAGACTCTTGTACCACAGGCGCCTGCAGTCTTTGATGAGCGAAGGCCCAAGTAATCGGGGGCAGTGGGAAGCTCAGCCTTTACTTACAGCACCCAGTGCAGGGCGGTGCAGCCCAGATGCTCTCATGCACTTCTGCTCTCGTTTGTAGCCATTCTGGACATCCCCGTGTACAAGAGTCGGATCCAGCCTCTGCATGTCCTCTTCTCCCTCTACTCGGAGTTCAAGAACTCGCAGGTAAGCGACTCTAGGCAGGCCCCGCTTACCCAGCTGGAAGCATTGCAAAGCTTCTCTCCTTACGTTTGGCTTTGCTGTGCTCTGGGTGTTTGTAAAGGGCTGGTAGGCCACGATAAAGGGGTCCAAAGAACCTTTCCGAAGCTTCTCGTTTCCCTAGTACCTCAGCATTACACGAGGAGCCTCTGATGTGCTGCAAGGCTGGGGTGCCGCGTTGTTTAACAGTCCAGCATAAGCCCAGAATGCTTTTCCCACCGAAGTCAGGGCGACAGCTGAGTGCACAGCTCATACAGAGCAGAAGTGGCTTGCATTTTCAGATGCACACGTGTACTCTAATTAACGAGAGTCGAATCTTTGCACTAATGCATTCTTTCCCCTGCAGCATTTCAAACCCCTGGCTGACGGGAAGAAGGGCAGGAGCCCGCCATCCAACCCACCTTCACAAGCGGCAGACGCGGAAGTGTTAAGCTTTACTTGAAGCTCCATGTTAAACTCTCATCTCCTGGATCAATGTCTGCCGCTGGACATCGAGATTTGACTAAAGCAGCCTGTGAAGCAATGCGCAGCACTTCAAAAGCCTCCCTGGTTTTATAGATACTGCTGAGCTGTTCTGCATTCATAGAGCAGGACTTCACTCATCGGATTTATTGTGGAAGCTGTCTAATCGCTCCATTTTTGACTTGTCCCCAAGCAGTTCAGCATTAAACCAGCTCTTCCCAATGTCAGGCTCCCTGTGCCACAGATGCTGCAGAGTAGAGGCTCCTTGAGCACACGCTACAAGTGCTGTAGCAAGTGGGAATAAATTCTGTCCTCGGACACGACACTCGGGTCTGCCCAGTGTGTTCCGAGGGATCTCGAATCTCCTCTGCCTCATATTATTGAGCCCCTTTTTCTATTCTCAAGCCCCTTAGCTACTGCCAAGGAGAAATAACCAGCGCGGCACCACACAGATGCTTGAGTTTAGTTTATTGCTGTTGGGACGACTCTTTCCAGTCCCTGCCACTCTGCCTGCCCACTGTCTGCCACAGCTCTGGCAGGGGCGGAGAGGACGAGGAGCAAGCAGGCCACGAACCTGCTAAAGCAAGGCTGGTGCTTGGCCTTATCCCGGGAGGAATTGCAGCGCTAGCAGCTTGGCAGAGTCTGGCTATAAACAGCTTTGACGCATTTTGCTTATAATAGTCTATTCTTGAAGTGCACAGGCTACATAAAAACTAACAGCACAGCTACCAAGACCTGCAGTGCATAACTTAATGTATAGCCGGGGGCCAGTCGGCGCCCGCCACCCAGCACGGCCTCCGCTGCATTTTCCCAGGGGGTGGTACATACCTGGTGCCGGGCAGCCCTGGCTTAGAGACGCCATGCCGCGTCTCACAGCCAGATCTCATCGCTGCTCACACTGGGCACTTTGTAGATGCGCCCGGACATCGGGAGCTGGACGAAACCTGCAGGACAAAGCCAGCTCATTGCCGTCGCCTTTTGGGCCAGCCGTGGAAGCCAGCATCCCCGCAGCACAGTTTGCAGGGCTGCTCGCCCACCTGCACCCCCTCACCGAGCTTGCTGAGGACCAGGGAGTTTTTCAGCCCCGGCAGGGTGCTCTCCTCTCCCCCGGCACCAGCTCCCACATCCTCGGGGGAAGCTGCGGGGAAGGAAAAGGGTGAGAGCCAGGCCTCACCAAGGCAGGACCTGTGGCCCCACGTGTCCCTCTGCAGCGGCACCTCAGGGTCTTACCTCTGGCCT